AGTATGTTGAGAAATGTGTGACATGTTTACAAGTGAAAGCCGAACATCAACGACCATACGGAAGTTTACAACCATTGGATATAMCARAGTGGAAATGGGATCATGTTACTATGGATTTCATAATTGGATTGCCCAAGACGTTGAAGGGTCACAATGTGATATGGGTAGTTGTAGACAGACTGACAAAAAGTRCACACTTCTTACCGATGAAGGAAACATGGTCAATGGATAGATTGGCTAAGTTGTATATTGACGAGATTATCTCGAGGCATGGAGTACTCTTATCCATCGTATCAGATAGAGATAGCCGATTTACCTCCAAATTTTGGGAAGGATTGCAGCGAGAGTTGGGGACAAGAGTGAATTTGAGTACCGCCTACCATCCTCAGACCGACGGACAAAGTGAGAGGACGATCCAAACTCTCGAAGATATGTTTCGTTCTTGTGTATTTGACTTTGGTGGGAATTGGGATGCACACTTGCCTTTGGTAGAATTTGCATACAACAACAGCTACCACTCTAGCATTGGTATGGCACCCTTTGAAGCACTGTATGGGCGAAAATGTAGAACACCCGTTTGTTGGTTAGAAGCCGGAGAGAAACAGTTTGCAGGTCCTGAGATTGTACAAGAGACTGCAGACAAAGTTAAAGTGATTCGAGAACGCCTTAAAGCCGCACAAGATCGACAAAAGAGTTATGCAGATCAGAAGAGGCGACCTAAAGAGTTTCAAGTGGGAGAAAGAGTTATGCTTAAAGTATCACCGTGGAGGGGAGTGATCAGATTCGGGAAGCATGTAAAACTCAGTCCTCGTTTCCTTGGACCATTCACAGTGTTGGAAAGGATTGGAACTCAAGCCTATCGTCTAGACTTACCATCAAAGTTACAAGGAATTCATAACACATTCCATGTATGTTACCTAAGGAAGTGTTTGGCGGAAGAAGAAAACGTAATTCCGTTATCCGAAATTCAAATAGATGACAAAATGTATTATGTTGAAGAACCAGAGGAGATACTAGAAAGAAAGACAAAGAAATTACGCAGAAAGGAGATCGGGTTGGTTAAAGTACAATGGAAGCATCGTCGGGGTGCAAATGTCACATGGGAACCGGAATGAGAACACGCTACCCACATTTGTTTCTTGAGATTTAGATTTCGGGGACGAAATCTCTTTTTACAGGGGAGAATTGTAACATACCATTCTAAAGGTTAGATGAATATTTAGATGTTTGAAAGTTTTGGGGTAGAATTGTTTTATAGTGATAATCAAGGGGGTTATAATGTCCTTCCCTCAATCTAGTATTAATATAAATAGGGGTTTTAAAAAAAAAAAGAAGACTAGAATTAGAGAAGGGGGGATTGGGAGAAGTCGAGAAGAAGAAGACATCGATGGGAGACGATTCATCCTTGCTAGTTTTCATCTAATCGTCAAATTAAGGTAGCACGGTGGATAAGCGAGTTGGGCACCGGCAGGATCTCAACTAATAGGCTAAGGTGAGTTTCAAGTAGATTTTAATGAGGTACACGTCGAACGTAATTACCTTTACATAATTTATTTTGTTTGACGTATTTTAGTGATTAAAGTAGAAAATGCATGATTTTAAATGATGTTATGAAATGAAGGTATTGATGTTTATACAAAGTGACTTT